TTTCCCCTAGATTTCCAAATCGCTTTGAACTATTGTAACTTTTTTTTTAATTTTTAGTAAAAGGTAAAATTTTGAATTTTTTTCTTTAATTTTGCACAAAGTTTGGGGCTTTCATTTTTATGAGTTTCGTTATAGACCGTCCTATCTACATATGCACATAAAATGGTAGCCGTTTTCGTTGTTCGAACTAAACTCGAAAACCACTGGATTGAGTTCCGTCAAAGTGTCGGTGTTTGTATGTACAGTATATTTTGCTTAGCTGCACATCCTTCTTTGCACGAAAAACTTGTGCACGTAACCGAAAAAGGCACTTAAGCGAATTTTCTTTACTACTTCAATGAGGAAGGTATCCGAATCCCTATGAAACCAAATATTGGCGGAGCACTTACCATGTAGAAATTACTGCAAGCGAAATTTTTACCGAATGTTATCNTTGGGGTAGGTATCTTAAATGTGCACTTAAGCATAGAGGCAGCAAAGCAAAATATACTGTATTTGGAAAATCCGTATTTCTTATAAAATCGGGTTGAAATTCATAATACGTATTCAATTCATTATAATCAGTAGTTTTGCAGACAGAAGACCCAATGGATGGCGCTGCAGCCGAAGTGTTTATAAACCCCGTGTGTTTGGCCCCATGTTTAATTTATACGAATTTAGTTTTTAGATGGCTAAATGACCGCAAAATTGTGTAAGCGCGCCTTTTTCTTGCCTTTAGCATCTACCTAGAAACCAGCTCATAGATATTAACACGAATCGTAAAAGTTGCGAATTAACAAGGAAAGATCACGGTAGGTATATCAATTGCTTCATTTGAACGATATTCAAGAGATCACACGACTCATTCAGCCAATGTACAGGCTTCTTTTCTTCCTGTGGGACAGCGAGGATTCTTGGCCCTCCTGTTATAGAAAACGCACATCTGTGCTCTTGAGTTTCCTTATGAGGACTTTTGTTGGCTTACGCATCGGACCAATGTTGTAACGTATGCGGAATGAAATACGAACTGATGCAGTAAAAAGAAACAGCTATACTTTAGCATGCAACAAATTTTGTTTTTCCACTCACATAGATATTGTCGAAATTTCCAAGAAAAACTTTTACAGAAAAGACTTATGTCCATAACGATTGATCTGTTTAAGTTTTCAGGCATATTAATATTATTTTGGAACTTTATTGTGCCAATTTGAGTTATTATTTTTTTTAGCCATTTAGACGATAAATAGTTCAGAGTTATATTTAGGAGTCCTTCTATGGGTACCCAATGAAAAATATTTCCCTAAGCCGTTGTACAAAACTGAAATGAATGTGGTGCAAGCAAATTTTTTGAAAGCGCTCATAGCCGCTTTTATTTTTCCTTTTCAACGTTTAAAAAATCATGGATAAAGTGGTTTGCACATATTTCACTATATCCCTGGCTCTTGCATAGTCTCTAGTCATAGTTGCCAACTTGGTGCTTTAAGCACTAGATTTAGTGGTTTTTGAAAATTAAAACGCCAAAAAAAATATTTAGTGCCTAGTGCCTTTTTTAGTGCTTTTTTCGGAACTAAAATTCCTCCGAGATAGGTAAAACCTGAAATATTTAAAGCTGTGGCAGCACTGAATTTACAAGTATCTACAAATTTAAATGCACTAAAATATAACCATGATTAATAAAAAGCTGAAGTTACAAACCCATCTTGTTGAATTCTATTCGCGTAAGTTAAGTATTTCTTTATTTCTTTTCTAATTATTTATACAAATTTTGATTTTTTACCACCTGAATAAAAAACATCGTTTCTTGGTGCTGAATCCAAATCTTGCCGCACAATTGCTTAGCACTAGAATTTTGAGATATCCTAACCTCAAAGTGCCAAAAACACGGTTTTTGGCGATATTTGAGCTTATATAATGAAAACATCAAATTTTTTGCTCATTTCTACTTATGGCATCATTTTCATTTGTTACGATTCGATTTTTCTTTCTCGAGATATACCAGTTTTAATGCGATATTACGTCGTAAGTATGAGTCATCATAGCATCTGTAATGAGATAAAAATTTTGTGTATTGATTTATGTATGTATTCTTGTAAATACTGTTAACTTTTTGCTTTTGTTAAATACAAACTGTTATGAAAAAAGCATATTTTGATTCAAACAAATTNGTCATAGTTGCCAACTTGGTGCTTTAAGCACTAGATTTAGTGGTTTTTGAAAATTAAAACGCCAAAAAAAATATTTAGTGCCTAGTGCCTTTTTTAGTGCTTTTTTCGGAACTAAAATTCCTCCGAGATAGGTAAAACCTGAAATATTTAAAGCTGTGGCAGCACTGAATTTACAAGTATCTACAAATTTAAATGCACTAAAATATAACCATGATTAATAAAAAGCTGAAGTTACAAACCCATCTTGTTGAATTCTATTCGCGTAAGTTAAGTATTTCTTTTTTTCTTTTCTAATTATTTATACAAATTTTGATTTTTTACCACCTGAATAAAAAACATCGTTTCTTGGTGCTGAATCCAAATCTTGCCGCACAATTGCTTAGCACTAGAATTTTGAGATATCCTAACCTCAAAGTGCCAAAAACACGGTTTTTGGCGATATTTGAGCTTATATAATGAAAACATCAAATTTTTTGCTCATTTCTACTTATGGCATCATTTTCATTTGTTACGATTCGATTTTTCTTTCTCGAGATATACCAGTTTTAATGCGATATTACGTCGTAAGTATGAGTCATCATAGCATCTGTAATGAGATAAAAATTTTGTGTATTGATTTATGTATGTATTCTTGTAAATACTGTTAACTTTTTGCTTTTGTTAAATACAAACTGTTATGAAAAAAGCATATTTTGATTCAAACAAATTTGGTGCTTTTAGTGTGATAAAACGCTTTTTCCCCAAGTTTTTGGTGCTTTTTGAAAATCAAGAGTTGGCAACACTGTCTCTAGTGTTTTTACTTTGTACTTTATTGTCATTATACGTCGTGATTTTGCAGAGAGATCAAGCAATTTATGATTCTTATTACATTTCGGTGCAATGTTAATCATGTTTTTTGGTACTCGTGGGTTTTCGTTCTACTGTTTTCCTATTTAATAAAGCCGACATTTCCTTTGTAAATAATTTTTTTTAGGTTTAATAGAGAAAAAATTAAAAAGTACGTTACTTTTCGTGACATAGAGTTTCGGTATACAAAATTTACAAACATATTTTCAGAGTTCGTTCACTTTCAAGGAAATTATTTCAGCATTACAATATAAAACGAGTCTAATTTAGTGGAATGCTTGTTAAGATTGCACAGTAGATTTGGGTATACTTACATAGTTTGGCTCCTGTGTTTACCAGAATTTTTTAAGGTCTGCTTAGAAATTGTCCACATTTCATTCCGCATACGTTAGTTGCAAGATCACAGCAAAATAGTACGCATGCTTGCCAGAGATCTCACATTTGGAAATAAGACCATCGGTAAAGCTCACGACGACGAAAGGGATTAGTATTCCATATGATATCACAGCGTTACTATTCTTGGCCTACGTGTGAGGAGGATACCTACGGTGACCATCCGTTCTGTTTTTTGCAGGACCGTACTGTTTTTCAAAGGTCGGTCCTGCGTAGTTTTCCAAACCTGAAAAACCTGAAAATGTAATGCATTGTTCCAAGTGTCCCGCATTTGTCCCGCATTTTATCCGTTATTTTAAAATTGTCGGACAATGGATGGATTTTTTCAAAAAAGTGTTTCTTGGTATTGATGTGCCTCTTACCAAAATATATAACTTGTGGCGACTTCAATGAAAATTATTAGTGCTACAGGCGACCATTTGCATTTTGTCGTCAAAGTCGAAAAAAGTGAGATTTTCAATCAAATCAGTTTTATTTGATTATTTTTTTCATTAGTTTAAAAATTCGATAAATAAGATATATCATTACAGTAAATTTTGAGCCAAAGGTAATGAAAAAGGGCACATAAATACCTTTGTAACTCATCGTTTACGTCGATTCATGACGTCGATTTTTGACAAATAACTGCGAAAAGTACAAGAAACAAAAAAAAGGTATTGTTTTCGTTTTGGACGACTCAAAATTTGCCTATAAAATAATCTTTTAAAGATTTTCACTTTTCGTGTAAGCTATTGTAATTATAATATGTTTTACTATACTTTTATAAATATTCATGTAAAAAAAGATTAATATCAATGAAGAAAACGTGATTCATTTTTAAAGTTTAAAATGTATTAAGAATTTAGAATCAAAAATACTCGTTTGATATTTTTATACTACGTAAATATATGTAGGCATATTTTTGAAAAATTGTCCTTCATTTTGAATCCATATTTATGGTCACCGTAAGGATACCGCGCTTTAGTGGTTTCAATTTAAACTAAATATTTTGACTTTACAGACTGCGTTTGCTTTTAAACGCTCTTTTGCATAGGCCAACGCAAAGTTTCTTTTTAAGCGCCACGAAGCAAGCGAGCATTGGCTAGTGTATAATAAAATATGTGTCCTCAAGAACGGCTAAATCGATAGTTTCCAGACTTATTAAACTTATGATAAGCGGATTAATTTTAGGAGCCGACGGCATCCCTTATTTTTATCTGATAGTGCGCAAATTTTTTACAACAGGCATAAATCAAGCTTGAAAAATAAGAACAATACTACTATATATACATATATGATATATAGAAATAGAAATAAAAATATAAAGTTGGTTTTAGTCAGGCTTTCCGCATTAATCAAGAGGGTAAATCTTACCTTGTTTTCTTACTTTGATCTAGGAAGGAGAACTGCGTTCTTATGATATACAACATACAGATATCCTTATGATTTTTTTACACAACATAAAAGTAGGACTTCCAGTAAAGAAGCAGCATTACATAATTTTAAGAAGCCACGTTACTGATTATATAACACATCATTTATAAAAACGATATCAATTTTAATTAGAATTGTCAAATTTATGTTACAATAAAAAACAATATCACAATTAGGTGACTAATAAAAAAATACAAAAAATACATGAATATTACTAGGCAGTGCTCAAATTGTTACTGTGGCAGTATTTACATACATATATAAATTTTCATAAAAATTGGACGTCAACTAAAAGAATAAGCATGACCACAGAAATTATGATAGGACACACAGCTACGCTTTGAGCATCGGCCGAACTCGACGAAGTAAATCCGAAAATGCCTTTACGTTTTGGCTTTAAATCGGGCAGATGTGTGCATTGTGCGCTATACCAACGACCCGTGATGCCATTGCTGTCCTTAGAGATTATACATATTTCGGAATTTTCCCCATTCACCTTTTTAATGTTTTTGATTGGTATTTCATGCGTACGCTCATTGTAGCCTGCTTCTCCTTGGTACAATACATCATTTTCGCGGTTTCGTATATAAACCAAAAAGTCGGCTATATCTCTGGCAGCCGTAACAAAAAAGCGCACTGTAAGATTCCCATTGCGATTGCTAAGAAGAAAATTATTTATTTTTATTATATGCATTAGACCATACAAAAAAAAAAAATCCTGGAATGCGACCGCAATCTGACTCAGATTTTAGTATTTGATATAGTAATGATCATTCATGAATCTCCCCTCTCTACGATAATTCTAAGCGGTCGCGCATGGATTGTTTATTTTCCCATAGGAATAACACGAAAGAAAATTGGTTAATCTTTTTTGAGTTCAATATAATTTTCTAGTATCAATCAAAACGGCCGAAACTGTAAGAATATATTGATTATACGCCATTAAAGTGTAATACGGGCTCAGATTCCTTAAATTCCATTATTACTTTTTTTTTGTAATTTCTAGATTCGACCCAAAGAGGCTGAAAGGATAATTTCGAAATTTAAAGAATCTGAGCCTGCATATTGCTTAAATAACATGTAACCAATATATTCTTATAGTTTCGAGCATTTTTTAATCGTTATTCCTATGGGAAAAATAAACAGTCGATGCGCAACCTCTTAGAATTATCGTAGAGAGGCGAGATTCACTTTGGATTATTACTATACCAAATACTAAAATCTGAGCCAGATTGCGGTCGCATTGCAGGATTTTTATTTTTTTACGTGGTCTAATGTATATGTGTATATACATATGTGCATTTGATGCCAGGGAAAAACGTTCAGAAAATTATTTTGAAAAATTCATAATGGTTTTCATGATAAACCTTTTTGTTAATTTTCAATAAAACTATTGGGGTATTCACAACACTGTCGTAAGTGTAGTAAACTTTAAACGCCAAAAAAATATATATAGGGGTTGGCAAAGTACCATCAAAGTCATGTTATGAATTTTCGGAGTGTTAAAAAGTAGTTGGTTGTGGTTTCAAGTTCTCTAAACATTTATTTAAGCTTTTAAAGTTTACAACATACAACAATGCGGAACTTGCGACACCGTTTGGAATCGCTTAAATAAATGAACTCATTCTGTAACTTAAAACAGGCTATGTTCAAGTGTTCAAAATTCAATTCAAAATTATCAAAAATCAACGTTAATTCTTAGCCACTTAAAACGGACACTTTAACTTTATTATACTAAAATTCAATTGGCTACAAAAATAGATACCCAGACTTTTTCTAAGAGCTCTGATTCAAAAGTTTAAAATTTCGATGACAAGGTTTTTAAATTTGAAAAATGTTTGCGAATTTCAAGGCGAATTCATATAAGGTGTCATTATAAGAACAGCGGATTTGTTGTTTTTTTTTTTTTTGTATTCGCCTTAAGTATTCGGCTTAAAGGCTCCGTTATGCATACTTGGCATGGCTTGAGAGCTGTCACATAATAAATCTGTTAAATGAGCCTCGCGTGTAATCGGTTATCGAACGCACAGCACTACATACGTAGAAGTCTGTTGGTTTTTGATTTCTACGTAAAAATGGCTCTGTTATGCATACTTGGCAGTGCATGCACTGCTATACCATTTTTACGTAGAAATCAAATGCCAACAGACTTCTATGTATGTAATGCTGTGCGTACACGCGAAGCTCATTTAACAGATTCCTTATGTGACAAATCTCAAGCAATGCCAAGTGTGCACAACAGAGCCTTTAGAATGTCAAATTTATGTAGTATTTTGCTCACATTTCCACATACAGTATGTATGGCAGTTTACGCCGCAAAAACAAAAACAAAATACCCGTATTTTTCTTTGTTCTCCTGCCGACACTTATAATAATTCGCCTCTGTACGAAGCTAGAACTTTTGATGTATGTACGTATGTTTTATTAAAAATTATCGAAAAAGATTTTTGATGAAAAGTCATGTTAATATGGTACAAAATCACACTGCATAAATAATCTTGCGCAAGTTCTAGCTCATCAGCTGGTACTTACGTTTTAATGTCTCGAAACTGTACATCGGTAAGTTCTTCATAAGCCACGCCTTTATAGCGGTCTCTTTCGTCCAATACGCATTGCAGATTTTCATCGAGCACTTCTATTAATCGTAGGTTTTGATGAAAACTAGGTGTTCCACATTCTATATTCTCTAAGTCTTCGTCTAAACTTGACTTTTCCATCATAAAATGCTTTAATGGTCGTGCAGCACAACTACAGTCTAAAGGATTTCCCGCAAAATATATATTAGAACCATTGCGGACCATTTGTACTAATATTTGTGGAAACTCATTAAGTTTGTTGTTTCGCATATCAATATTTTCCAGCTTTACATCTTTTTGGAAGTTGAAGAACGGTATTTTGTATATCTGGTTGTTGCTCAAATTAATTTTCGTCAGATTTGTAGGGAGATCAAACACATGGTCTTCCGAGGCCAGATTACTTAGCTCATTATTGGATAGATCAAGTGATTGAAGTAGAGTAAAATTCGCTAAAACGCCTCTTCGAATTTCATTTATATGATTGTTGGACAAATTTAAGGTAAGTAGCTTTTTCGTGCCAAAGGTAATGTCATACGTTAGAACTGGCATTTGATTATAACTTAAGTCCAAATATTTTAAATTATACGGTATATACCGATTCGAAGGAAAGGTCTTCTTTGTAACAAAACTGATTTTATTGTGACTTAAATTCAACTGAAATTAAAACAAATATTTTATGTGCATACATATGTGTCTATGTATTAAACTCAAATACATATAAAAAGAATATTTATATCGATGACTGAGTGGAAGATCGACCTATCTCGGCAGCCAGTTTGATAAAGCCCTATCTCAGACAATTTTTCAACAACGCTCTATCTAAGAAAACTTTTCAAGAACGCCCTACTTCAGAATTTGATTGAAAAACGCCCTATCTTACAATTTGGTTGAAGAACGCCGATTCAAAAACGCCCTATTTCAGCTTATTTTCAATGTACTTTCGTTTGAGATAGGACGTTTTTGAACCGAATTCTGAGATAGGGCGTTATTCAACCAAATTCTGAAGTAAGGCGTTCTTGAAAAGTTTTAAGAGATAGGCCGTTTTTGAACTGGTTGCCGATATAGGTCGATCTTCCGCTCAGCCATCGATGTATGGTTCATACCTCTTCTAAGCTGAGTAAATCGTCAAGTACGCCATTTGTTTTATTATCTAATTTCGACAACTGGTTAAAAGATAGATCCAATTTCCTCAGAGATGGTAAACCAACAAAGGCGTCGTTTTGTATATTTTTGATTGCATTGGAAGACAGATTGAGTGTAAGTAGTTGTAGAAGACCTTCAAACGCGCGTTTACTACAAAAGCAAATAGAATTGAAGTTAAACTTGTTTGGGAACAATCATACGCAAATACTAGCAATACCCGGCGTGCTTCGCTGCGCCTTAAAAGTATATTTGCATTGTTATTCACGCTAACTACATTGAAAACACTTTTAGATCTTCTGCTGGAAATTAAATTTACAATTTAATACTTCATGCATTCTTGAGTATACACAAGGCGAATTTATACAAGGTGGTGTTATTGGCGAATTTAGATTTTCGCCGCGGTACTTCATAATGTCAAAATAGTGTGTTTGTTGTAATATGAATTCGTCTTGTTTACAACAAACACATCATTTGACATTAATAAGTACCGCGCCGAAAATCTATATTCGCCAGTAATACCACCTTGTATAAATTCGCCTTGAGTATACATGTACCCTACAAGACATTGCTGAGTACTTCCCAGCAAACAATTAGGTTTGGTATACATTTGAGAATGATTTGAAATTAAAGCCTTTCTCAAATGTCAAACGTTTAAAAATTATTTGATATTGATTTGAAAATTACAGTTTTCTCAATAAAAAGGGGAGTTTGATCTCCATTTGAGAATATGGTTAACTCTCAAATCAATTTCAAAGGTTATTTATCAATTGTACTTCAAATGTGGAAATAAAATTTACTTTAGGAAATGTATATTTCATACTTATTTTTTCTTCGCGATGTACATATATGAGTAGTCTACTTGCAAATTGCGCTATGTAAATTTTTTTAGATTCTTAGTTTTTGGTGGTAAACGTACCAGTATTTAAAGTAGTTTCATGTCCACTAACAATACTGTGCATTGTTAGCTACTCTAGCAAAAGTCGCTATAATACTTACTGAATGTATATACACTTTCAAAAGTCGCTATAATATTTATTGTACGTATTTATATAAGCTCAAAAGTCTCCATATTCTGATGATCTTAGAACACTGCAAGAAAACGTGGTAGTTTCGGTGCCTAGTGGAAGAAGTCCTAAAAAAGAAGCAGACCAACCTTCATGGAAGAGAGAACGCCAAAAGCTGGCTATATAAAAGTTACTGTTTCAAAACTCGCTAAATTAAATTTTTATATATAAAATTTGCAAAAACTACCACACTGCGATTTTGTTTTTTAATGTTATTAGGCTCTTATTTATCACAATTTTCAGATAATAAAAAGAAATATACAATTTGGATGTTTCTTGTTGCTGTAGACGTTTTTTTTTAAATTATGGCTTACTATTATAAAATCACATACCGCTGTTTGCAAGTGGACTACTCATACATATATGTACATAACAAAAGAAACAATTAAGATAAAGTAATTTATAATAAATTCGTCTTGAATTCATTCCGCGCAAACATCAAATCCACTATTTGTGGGCTTTCTCTTTGAAAATTTTTTTCTATTCATTGTTTTTTTGTTCAATTGATCTTAATTTTATTCTTACAACTTTTGATTTAACTGCGGATTTTTATATCGTTTGACACTTGCCATCTTTCTTTAAATCAACCTCAAATGAATTTCAAATGTAAAATTTAAACCTCGTTTTCAATTTGAGAATCATTTGAGAAATACATTTTTCTCAAACGTTTGAAACTTTGTTTGCTGGGTTTAGGCAAAAATTCTAACACATTTACACTTTTGTTTTTGTAGCATGGCATTAATGAGTAGTTTGACTATTAGTACTGAGGTCTTTCTGATGACAACATTGAGGGGACAGTACTCAATTTTTGCCCATGGGCTGAACGAAAATGAGGACTTTGATAAGCACTTTTGTAATTAGCGATAATGATAATATGAGCACTCATATGATACTCAGCTCTCTTGTAGGGGTATATTTGTAAACTACTACATAGAATGAAGTGCCATATCATAACAGGGGCGGTTCAGGAAATTCTACAAACACAAATTTGACCATCTCATGATTCCTTCAAGCCGCAATGCATATCGAGTCCTAGCCGCGAAAATAAAGTAAGCGAACTTTTTTAAAAATTTAATTTTGATGCATAAATGCTCCTCGAGCAGATTCATCAAAAAGTAAGTTTTAAAAAGCTTATGCATTATTTTAGCGGTTAGGGCTCGATATGTCGATTTTCTCCGATGCTCTTCATTCTTTGGAAATCTGGAAAATTGGAAAATAGAAGATATTTTCCTAACCAAGACAAAACATATTTACACATAAAGCGGTGTTGTATTTTATATAATATAATAAATTAGAAATGCCAACTGATGCCAAGTCCTTCTCCAACTGGTATTTTTAACCTCTGCCACCACCAGCAGCCGCAGCGTTTCTCATAGACTTACAAACATTTTACTTTTTGTTAATTTTTCATATGAATTGTTTTTCAATAAGAATTTGTTAAACCGCTCCTGAATTTTTTAAAAGTGAAATTGTCATTTTGAGTAGATTCTCTTATCGGATCTCTCTTTCTTTTTCAATATGTCGGCACTCTGATGTTAAGGAATTTAATTTGAATGTACTAGCAATATAGAAGTATTACATATACATATGTCTTCGAGTCTACATATCGCACCAATTCTTCAAAAGTGTATGAATTCAGTATTTGTCTTTGTTTATAGAGTACGCTAAAAATATTCAGAAACAGAATTTCTAAAAAACTTGTAGTTCCTCGGGTTTTCTGACAAACGGGAAATTTCGAATTAATACGCTCTTGAAAAATGTATGGCAATGTTTACCAACAAAATTGTTAAAATGAGAAACTCTTTCCCCATATACTTATCACAACTAGTGTTGCTGAGACGTCATGAAAATATGTATCGTAGAAAACCCAAAAAATGGATCAAATGTATCACACTTTTTTTATTTAAGTATCAAAGTATCAAGTTAAAAAAAACCTAAAAAAAAATTATATTTTTTTCATACCTTTGCTTTTTGTTATTGTCAATAACCGAAAAATCATGTAACTCACATTCATACACATACATATCGTTGGCTTAGTTCGCAAACGTGCTAAGTCCATTTTTTTTATTTCGTCTTGTTTTAGTACCAATAATTGGCCAATTTCAAAATAAAGCTTATAGGCCCTTTTAGGACTTACTACATTTTCTCTTTAAGATTTTATTCTTTTAATGTGGACTTAGCACATTTTCTATCAACCTTTTTTCCATTATTTTTTATTGTTAAAAGATTTAATTGTTTACTTTAAATATATTTTATTGTTTTAAAATGAATTATAACGTAATACAGTTTTATTTCATTGCTATTAACAAAAATAACTATTTTAAGTCGTAAATTTATGTACCATTTATAAAAGAAAATAATTAAAAGCAAGTAAAGAGGTAAAGTGTGGGCGAAACCCGGCGCAGGTATCAAATACTGTCGTAAGCAGGGTCTTTTTCCCGATTTCAAACGTTTTCGATAANTGAGATATCTCGAGTTATCGTGTACACGGACAGACGTGTATATATATTTTTTTGATTTTTTTGGACTTAGCACATTTGCGTACCAATGCATAACAACAAGTAAAAACGACATTACGGTAATTTTATTTTTGGTAATGATGTATTTTCAGTTATGCTATCTTACTGCATCAAAATCTCAATTTACATAAAAAGTGGACTTAGCACGTTTGCGAACTAAGCCAACGATATGTACATATGTATGTACATGAAGAAAAATATTTTACATATTGTGACAACCCATGGTACAATAATTACTGGTATTGTCTTCCCAGAGAGTTTTGCTTCACATCGAAATTCGTGCTCCCTTATTTTCATTTTGACGCAGTTCAATGTTGATTCTTTAACTTTTATTTGGCTTTGCTTTTTAATTTCGTTCAATTTAATTTTTATAATTTTTCAAAACAAAAGAAAAAACGTTTGAAACCAAGTGAGCCATTTAAGTTTTGAATTTATTTACAAGCAAATGTTTTTTCCGGTTTTGCAAATTAAATGAGTTCTCTGCAAGAAGGTTGGTTTAAAAATATACGTGTACATACTATATGGTATATGGGATATGGAAATATCCCTTTTCCCTAGCAGTAAACCTTTTAGTGTGGGCAACGATGATATTTGTTAAATAAGACAGAGAGCGCCTGGGAAGACAATACCTGTAATTTAGTATGTTCGACAAGCAGATAATAATTACAAATTATAAGGTTTTGGCGTTCGCGTACGCAAAAAACTTGCAAAGTAGGGGAAATTGAGAGCGCAAAGTGACAGTTGATTTGGATGGGGCAGTTGCTAATTCCTGCTGCAAATATTTTTACCAGCAGCAATTTCCCAGCAAGAAAAATAGCTGATCAAAAACATCTGTTTGCAATTTATGAAAATTATGAAATTTATTTTGATGATTTTTCAGTTTAACTTGCACGTCTAGCAAATGTCTCGGAATTAAGCAAACATTCATTTGCTTACGTTTTCTTAGGAAATAACTTTAGGCAAACCTAATATGACCAACTATTTCATAGCTCAAAGAAGTACAGGACCTGAGAACAAAAAATTGTGTGAAAGTAATGAGAAAAATAGTAAAAGAGAATATACAACAACGTTGACAGTGTACCAAATCAAACAAAGTTAATTTTTTAATTAACAAGTAAAGAAGTATAAGTTGGGCGGAATAAATAGTTTTTTTCACCTTAGACTTAATGATATATTTAAATAAATAAACCGGGCTTGGTAGAAATCGATAAAGTGCTTACCGAGCATAAGCGGTGTCGTGCCCATTTTACGAAAATCTATACATATACCGATGTCTGTACATAACAGATATTAAAGAAAAACAAGTAAGAAAGTCTAAGTTCGGGCGGAGCCGAACATTAAATACCCGGTGCAAATATATGTTTTCCACCTTTCTGAAAGCTACCGCTACATGATAAGCCGGGATGTGAAAATTTTAAGTAAATTATCGTCCTTAAATTTCGAAATATTCAAATTTCAAGCATTTCTGAAATTTACCGTTATTTGAAAAGCGGCCGTAATTTTAGACCGATTTCAACAAGCACAATAACCATACTGAGTTTGGTACAAATTGGTAGAAGGGTTATCG